TGATTCAGTAATGGTTGATGTGAATTCGGTAGGTACTCACCCGTCCAGTCGCACGTCGGGCAGCGACCGGTTCAGCGAGATCATATCACTCGCCATCAGGTTGAACTGATTCTCCTTGAACTTTTCGTTCATCTCGTCCCGCTTGTCGCGCGGAATGTGCACTGGCTCGCCCATCTCGCCGGGCTGGCCCGGTTTTTCGGGCACTACGGCCGCCGGCTCCCAACGCACCAGCGCTGACCGGTCGTAGGCCAGGCTGTTGAGTGAGTGGGCCAGGGCCAGTGCCTCTCGCTTGCCACCGGGTCGTGACCCGTCCGCGGCGGCGGCGCCGTCTCTCTCGGCCCGCGCCGCCGACCGGCCCGACGGCGCCGAGCCGCTGTCCGCATAGTACATGAGCACTGCCACGTCCACCAGCAGCCAGACCAGCGAGGTGGCCAGCACGATCTTGCAGGTGTGATGTCGGAATTTGCGCAACATGGTGGCGAGTCGGACGGTGGCGGCGCGGAGGGACGCGTCACCGGCGATCGCGGCACACACCTGGCGGAGAGACCCGACCCGACCGGGAGCCGACCGCCGACTGGACGGCGGCAGCCGCAGTCAGCTGGCGCCGACCGCAGTCCGCTGGCGGCGCCGTCAGCTGGCCAGTCCACACAGCGCGGCCCCGACGTGCCTGCAATACATGGGAGAGAAGGGGCATGGAAAGGTGACGGTCAGGTGACAGTGACGGGTCGTACAGTGAGCGGCTACACGCCTTGAGCGGGCCGCAGTTTCACTTTCTCTTGAGTTACTAAAAACGACCACGACACGCAGATTTAGTGACACCATATCGGTGCTTACAGCACCGCAGCAGTGAAGGCTGCTTCGCATGCAAACCCTTTTGTTTGTTTGCGCTGTGACGTAGTTCAAAACACACAAGGAACTCATATGCGGCGGAAACGAGCAGAGGGAATTAAAGGGGGGGGGGGGCAAGATGCCAGACCAGGAATTTATCCGTTTAGATGGTCTTGATTGACAGGATGATGGATGATTAGCCATATTGACCAGACCACTGGATGTCTAATTCTATGGAGATGGACCCAAGCATCCAAAAATGATCAGGATATCATATAACACCAAAATGAAGCCAATTCCGCGCGCTATCAGATGAAATATACCGAGCAGAGCACCCTCTTCGGCTTTGCCGCCGGCCGCCGGTGTCTGCCACATAGTCTGTCCCATTCGCTGGCTGCAGAAGCTTTTATTATTCATTGACCAACAACCACAGACTTTTCCTGCCAGGACTACTGACAATAATATGTACAAATACTGAGTGGGCAACACAATGTTTGAAGGGTAACATGAAATGGGGTGAAAGGTGTGAATCCTCAAGGTGATGGGAGGTGATGTTGTTTGTGTTATATGAACAGCATTTAAATTTGAATTAGCCCACAACTTGGATTTGAGAATTAAGAATCTTTGGACTGGATGCATAGGCGTCGCCAGAGATTTTCGGTTGGGGGGGGGGGGGCAAAATCAACTGTTGTGTTAAAACTTGCCTTTCCCCAGTCTTTACTCACTCGTTTTACATATCATTCGACGCGCAATGGTGCGAGGAATCAAATGGTGACAAAGGTTTCCTTCTAGCTATGACATGTAATTTTTTATAGAAAAATTCGAAATTTTGAAATTTCATGACAAAAAACGACTGGTAGAATTATATAATAGTGGCTGCGATTGCCGACGCACTGCAGAGGGCCCCTGTGCAGACGCTCGACGCTCATGATCATTACCCAGAAAAAGGTGAAAAATGGTCCATTTTATCGGATCACCCTGCTAAAGCCTACATTCACGCATGCATGCAGAGGTTTTGCGTGAAATGCATAGGGCTTATCCCAGCCGCCGATCGTAGCTAAGTTGGGCATTCGGCGGAGAGTGAGTGTCGGAAGTGTGAATCGGAAGTAATTCATCTTTGCTCCAGTGAGAGGAAGTGTTTTGTTCACTCGAGTGTGAACAAAAGTTTCTCGTTTTTCGTGCGAAAGGAAGCGCTGCAAACACGAATAAAAACTGTTAAACGGAAACAAAAGTTACGCACGGCATAGCGGCAAGGGATCCCTTAGAAACAGGCTTGGGACTTCCAAGCCATTTCAGGCCACTCAGAGTCAGTGCTGACTCTCAGAAGCATGCTTAGGATCCCGGAGATCGGCGTGGGTCACCTCAAAAATGTACGTGTACGTGGTGCTTTATTTAGGGCTTTCCGAGCCCAAGGTGAGGCCCTCAGAAGCCAGTGTGGGCGGCGGGCGCTAGGAGACTAGGCCCAGGGTGGTGGAACCCTAGGATAACAGTGTGAACGCTCGGGGATTGTGTCGAATCCCTAAGGACCCTACGTAGGGACATAATAAACATGTGTTGCGGACCTCAGAGGGACACGTGAGCTGTGACCCCTCAGATGCCGGCTTGGGGTTAGCAAACTGCAGGGCTGCGGAGTCGATGGATTTTCGGCGACTCCGACTCCGACTCCGACTCCGGCTTTCAAAAACCAGCTCCGACTCCGACTCCGACTCCGGGCAGAATTGTCGACTCCGACCGACTCCAACTCCCGACTCCGACTCCACAGACCTAGCAGGGCTGCGGAGTCGACAGATTTTCGGTGACTCCGACTCCGACTCCGGCTCGGGTTTCTAAAATCGACTCCGACTCCGACTCCGACTCTGGTCACAACTGTCGACTCCGACCGACTCCGACTCCGACTCCGACTCCGCAGCCCTGTAGCAAAGTCTGTCGCCTCAAAAGTTTGGCTGAACTATCAGAGGACAGTTAAGGTTCTCAGAAATGTTCGAAGGCTCAAAGATCCCTGTATGGGCCCTCAGAGAACATGGACATCAGTGGGACTTTCAGAGGCCGGTTTGGGCCCTCTGAAAGCTTCTTTAGGGCTCAGTGGAGCTCCTTAGGAGCCTTTGTTTAAAGCAAGCTCATGAGCCCTGCGACACTTGTACGGTACTTGAGCCTGTCGCAGACATTTGACGAGAGTTGAGAAAGGCTGCGAAGATTTCGTTTCACGCTTTAAACGAAAATTGTGTCAGCACTCCAAAACTTATGAAAATCAGCTGTAAAATGCAATAAAGAACGAACTAGGAACATGGATTGAATCACAGCATTGACATTTCCGAGTCTGGACTCGGAGTCTTGAAGATTTTGGCGACTGCGAGTCAGATTCTGGTTTGAACTGCACGCTCCAACCGAGTCTGACCTCACAGGCATTCTCAGAAAGGTACCCCCATTTTTTCCCGACTCCAAAATCTCATCGGATCTGTATCGATCTCAGGGGGTGCCCGGTCCGAGGTTGGGGGGGCAAGCTGCCCCGCTTGCCCCCCCGTGGCGACGCTAATGACTGGATGACCTGCATTCTGACTGCAAGGTATGGTAATTTCAGTGGGATCTTCTTGCTGGTGCAGAGACACTAAGAAGGTGCATGTTGCAGTGCAGATTTTCAGTGTCACTTTCATGGAGCAGATTTCAAGTGAAGTGGTGTGGGCCTTGGTATGGTGAGGTGATAACTGAACTACTATGCGGGCGCATTGTTGTCAAAGAGAATAAATGACATTCAGCTGTGTTCACCGGGGATTATTAATCATTTGTTGCATTTTACACATCAAAAGTGCAAACATCTAAATTTGATGACGGAAAAGTTTAGATCTTGTTTGATACAGACTGCACTCATGCAGATTTCCAATCTGCTTGTTATGTCTGGCACAAATTTGTCATCCTAGCTTATGCTGCTCATCAACTTTTGCCATGCTCAACAGTCAACAGCCCAGCCTGAGCCTGGCCCCTGGGCCATGTTTCACTGATGATAGCAGCACGCTGCTATTACACGTGTCAAATTGGGTTTCCATGGAGACGTCAACAAGCCTATTCCTCCGCTCCAACACTACCAGAAGTGTGACGTCAGCTCGCAAAATGGAATAGCAGCGTGCTGCTATCACCGGTGAAACAGGGTCCTGGCCTAGGGCCTAGTTTTCTAACTCATAATGGTGTAAATGGGAACAAATGCTTGCATTAACAACCCGAAAGTCACTCAGGTTTGTAAGAAAAGGCCCTGTAATTTTATGTCCAATTTCCACAGAGAAATAACAGTGGAATAAATAGCAATACTGCTAACAAATTGAAATTAGATGAAATCGAAATCAAAATCAAGCACCCAGCCTGGATGGAGTGCAACCAAAAGCCAGACATCGTAATAAGATTATACAAGTACCCTTGCATCGTTAGATAACTAGTCTTGTTAATTCACAGTTACTTTCACCATATTTGGAGGCTGAAGCAAAATATTTTATTTTTATGCTTTACCAACCTATCTTGATCTCGTTTTTTCCAGCGCGCTCCTGCAGCATAAAAAGCACGGTGCACCATTTTTGTCTAGCTTGCGTCAATTTCAAGGATTCGGTTATGCTGACACTAATTTACTGCATTCTTCTTCGATTCATTCCAGCTTCCCCTGGCTCTGCATGTGTTGCCATGCCACCCAACTCTAAGACCATTCCAGTTTCCACATCTACGAATTTCAGTGATGTCACCTGTGTTTTCCAAAATTCCTATATAGCATTAACATCGCCTACAATGTTAATGCTTACATTTATCTTACATCTATTGAAATCACTAACGGAAAATGCAATGGTAAAATCCCTAACCCACAGCTCGAAGTTCGTTCATAAAGACGCTCGTGTCATTTCGCAGCTATGATTACTTGGACATTCGTGATGCACACAACAGTAAGTTCATTTAAGGAACTTTATTGTCACGAGTGTACATACTACCAGTTCGTAGCATCACAGTCAGTCGCTACATTTACCACATATTTATGATTCATTGTGATTAGTAAATCACGTTACGAACAGTTTCTCAGAAAAGCGACAAAACATTAAGAGAACAATGATAAATGCAACAGGCTAAGGAGAGAGCTCAAAGGAGAGCTGTGTCCACAAATTAATTGTCAATCCTCGAGACAACAAAAAGAAAAAACAATGCAGCAGTTGTACGATGTATCATTTATCAGCGAATATGCAGCGCACTTACACTAAGCTGCAAGCAGTAACAAAAGTTTTCCGCTTCAGTTTCGACGGTTAGATTAAAACACGTCTGCAGCATAAACCCCCTTTGTAACTAGTTTACACATTTCGTGTACCTACACATGTACCAATCACATAAATTCGTCTGATATTGCGTTTGAATGTCTAGCAATATTTCTGGTACTGTAGACGCTTCATTTTGGATTACTAACAACAACAAAAAAAAAAGGCAAAAAGTGCGATGACGTCCTCTTACATGGCAAGATTCCTCCATCACACGATGATACAGATAATGATGCACACTGACTAGGTGTTCTGTCGGTTAGCAGACACAGACTGCAAACACAGCGTGACAGCCCGAAATCAACAGCTAAATCCTGAGTATTACGGTGCCTGTGCGCACCGACACCAGAAAAATGTCCACCTACATAAATGCGAGACACAATGCGTAAATAACGATATAAAACGCAAATCTAGTTAGCGAATAAATTACCTGAGGTAACAAAACAGAATCTGCCCAAAAAGCAGCAGACGTGCCCTAAAACTAGATTCAGCATATGCGCTGTAATACTGACACTTGACAGTTCATATGCATATCAGACTGCAATGCTAACTCTTCACGTCTTTTTATGGTTGAACTACTGAATAATAATCCATGGCTCTAGCAAGTTCCCAAGGCTACACATTTCTAGTAAAGCCAAAATCCACCACTCAGCATTGCTTTAATTCCGTTCATAGGTATAATCTACCTAACCACCTAAGTGGAACATCGGAAATGCAACAATAGAAGAAAAAATTCGAACAGCACCGTAGTTTCGTGCAACTTTGACCACCAAGGGCAATTTTGGCCCACTCCTGGAAAACTTATTTGTTTTGCTGCAACGTTTTACACTTAGGGAAAGTGGGGCAAGACGGTCATGGTAGGCGTCCCTGGCCGTTTAGCCCCAATTTCCCCTAAGCGTAAAAAAGTTACAGCAAAATAAATTAGTTTTCCAGAGGTGGGCCAAAGTTGCCCTTGATAGTCAAAATTGCACGAAGCTACGGCATTCAAATATTGTTGATAAAATCGATTTTTTTTAACTAAATGAGTTGGACGGCTAGGCCAGGGTTTCGGTAGCTTCATCCGTATCCAGAATCCATTCCACCGAAGTGCCCATTATCACTTGGGCGTATGGTCCCACATGTCTGATCGCAAATACCACCTTAGACGGCTTAGGCTACTAGCACGACACAGCAGTGCGTCGCTGGCTGTGAGGACGCTTCACTCACTCTAGAGATTACCTGTTAGGCTGTTACCATATTTGTGATTCTCACCTCTAGTAAGTAAACGACACGGCAAACTCCATGGATGAACAGGACCTTGGCCGAAGAAACGGTCATCAACGACAGGTCATTTGTCCCTGAGTCCAAACGACAGACAGACTTCACCATCACGAGTCAGCCCCAGACCAGTCACAGGGCACTTACGACTAATGGACCAATCACGATACAGGTCATGGTTATTCTGTTATGACGGCCGATTTGTCGGTGCTCTAGCGGACGTGAAGACAAGTGGAAAGTCCAGTCGCTCCTGCTCAGTGGACTGACGGCTGTGCTATCACTCCGGGGTACGGCGGCGGCGCGTCTGAAACGAACGACGAGCCATAGTGAACACAAGCTAACTGCAGGCAGAAATCTGGCAAAACACGTCCAGCTGGCTACAACAAGCCTTCCAATACAGGTTCATTTACATGTTACGGTACCCATTCATCCACTCACCCGAAAGCGTACTGTCCACTGATGATTGCGAGTTGGAGAATGTCCGGGGCGGCGCCGACGGCTGCTGCGGGTAGGTGGCCGACTGCAGAGGGTTGTACGCCGGCTGAGGGTTATACGCCGGCTGCTGGGGGTACGGAGCCCCCTGCTGCGGGTACGGAGCGATGGGTGGCAGCGGGTGCGTCCGGGAGCCGCCCGGCGGGGCTGGCTGCGGAGGGCGCATCGTCACCATCGGCCTCATTTGCATACCGAGCGACGGGTCGGCTGCAAAAACGACACAGCGTGGCAGGTCAGAGCCCAGCATGGTTTAAGAACCGTAATGTAGTAAAACCACCAATCAAACCAGTCGTCATCATTTACAAGTCATTCAATAGAAGTGTGAAATGTTCAACATTAGTGTTCTAGCCGTGGCGCCGGTCTGTGTACGTACGGGGGCGGATAACGCGTCCCCTCGACTGCCGGTGCCGAAACGCCGGGCAGCAAGGGCAGCAGTAGCAGCAGAGGCAGAAGGTGATCCCAACCACCACCAGCAGAGTCAGCGATAACACGTGACCCAGCAGTTCCCTGCACAACAGACCACAGCAAAACCATGTGACCAAGCACCTTCCTGCACAACAGACCACAGCGGAACCACGTGACCCAGCACCTTCCTGCACAACAGACCACAAGGAAACTATGTGAGCAGTATCAGAGGTCAAAGGCAAACCATATGAGCAAATAGGTCGGAGTAAAACCATGTGAGACAGCACCTCCTTACACAACAGATGACATGGAAACCATGTGACCCAGAGCTTTCAGCAAAACAGGCCAGGAGAAACAGTGGGTCAGCAAGAAGGAAAGACAGAGACAGCAAAGAATTGACAGCATACATTACCATTTAGCAAATTCATGTGAATGTTCAGCAATCTTGTGATACTCATCCTCTGCACAACAGATTTGTGCCACATTTAGCCCACAGCAATAGATATTCTCTGTATCCCAGGGCTGACTTGGGCAAGTGTACTCTTCAGAATCATCACCAGTCCCTAAAATGCATGTTGTCATCTTGAAATATTACTTGATCCAATCACTTGAGCTTAGAGTTGCTTCAGTTTGTTGCAGAGATTTGCTGGCAGGCTTATAATAAACAAATTGTTAGTCAACAGCAGCCTGGTGTCTGTATGTAAAAGTAGTCAGAAAAGCAATACTGCATCAAAATGCTGATTGCTGACATTCATTGACTTAAAATCTATGCCAAACACCTGTGGAGCAGACAACACAAGATTATGATACAGATAGACTCGAGTCTTAACCCGCGCCCCGCTGGGGGCCGGGGGCGACCCTCCCGTTTTTCGCCAATAACTTCTAAACGCGTTGCGCCAGTGACGTCAAACTTTCAGTTCCTAATCATACATCAACTAAAGATGTTTCCTGAAAATTTGAGCGAAACCCGTCGGATATTTTTTTAGAAAATGACGTTTTAATGACGTCATGTCCGCTATTTTTGCCTAAAAAAATGGCAATATTTCAAATGCCGCTAACATCTTCATTTTTAAAGGAATCAAGAACCAAGACCTAACAAAAAAGGTTATAAATGATTCTACTTTGTCTATCAAATGGCTATCTCGATTCTTTTTTTCAAATTTTGGATTTAACCCAAATTTTTTTCAAAAAAACTGACTTGGGAAAAACTTAAAAAATCCAAAATTTTGAGTGTATAAAAAAACGGAATACATGTCAAAGAAGTGGTCTATGTGCACCTACATATCAATTTTTAGAAGAATCTGTTATAAAATGTGGGAGTTATTCAAAATTTTATGATGTTACGATTCATGACACACATAAAATTTGAATAATGATTTTTTTATTTCTAGACTTCGTACGGGAACAAAAATAGCATCATTCGATTTGCCGTGAAAAACTGAATCAGTATACAGTAGACACATTTTTAGGCCTTAACAACCAACTTCAAAATTTGACCTCACTTGACATGACCTTGACCTGACCTCGACCTGAAATTCATCAGAAAACACAAAATGCAATAAATTTATTGACTCTCTATCCATTTTCTTAACAAATCAAATTGATCAAATTTACCAAAATTTGTTGACTGATCTGCGCCCCGTTCGTCGCAAACGTAACTATTATGGCATTTTGCAAAGCATTTTGTTGAAAGCGTTGAAAGAAAATGATTTGTGTACCTATGACATCATTGCAACTAATGTGATGATTTGTTCACAGAACACACAATCCTTGGCCCATTTTCAAGTTATGTTGCTACCGATTCAATTTCACATTGCAAAGATGATTTCCGTACTTTTTCTAATGATAACTAGAAATACAAATCTTTTGTGCTTTTTGTGGTCGTATTATATTAACAATAATATTAACAAAATTAAAAAGAATCGGGAAAAAATATTATTAATATTGAAGACGTCATCAAACATATGCCGTTAGAAGCTGGTTAGAAGACCACCTAATGCACCACTTCTCGGCTCGCGGCGGATAATTATAAACAAGGCATTATAAATAACAAACAAACAAACAAAAACTGAAACGGTTTTTGCAAATATTATGATTTCTGATGCTCTACAGAGTATACCGAATGTAACGGAAGTTGGCATAGATTCAGCACAGCTTCAGCACAGCACAGATTCGGTAGGGGCCGAGCCTGTCTGGGGCCGTATTCACGTCGATCATTTTCGTAAGAATTTTCTTAAGTTTGACCTACTTCTTAAGTAAATTTTTTTATTCACGTAAACTCCGTCGATAAAAACTTAAGAAGTGTCGACGTGAATACCAAATTATACTTACGAAAGAAAATCGACTTACGAAGTCGACGTGAATACGGCCCCTGGTCTATATACCTATAGCTGATACTGATACTGATATGCCCGCGCTACTGATATTTGGTACTCTCTTAGCAGACGTCACCCCAATTGCCAGATCTAATGGCCAGTTGAAAAATCTAGAGACTTTTTGAAAAGTCTCTAAATGGGCAGGAAAATCACCCCAGGGGTCAATTAGGGGGCGGGGAACACGAATTTGACACTTATTTTGGCCTAACTCCCCTCCTTCATCCCTTAATCCTCCCTTAAAGGACGGGGCGCGTCAAAAGTGCCTCAAGGATTCGCCTGATCGCCAAAATAAGGGTCGCAATCGATTCCTCGCGTCAACATGGGGCCGCAGCCTCACGTTTCAGATGTGTGCAGCGTATCCCTTATCCCTTAATCGTCCCTTAACGGACGGGGCGCGTCAAAAGTGCCTCAAGGCTCAAAGGCTCGTCTGATCGCCAAAATAAGGGTCGCAATCGATTCCTCGGGTCGATATCTAGCCGCAGCCTCGCGTTCCTGATGTGTGCAGCGTATCCCTTATCCCTTAATCGTCCCTTAAAGGACGGGGCGCGTTTAAAGTGCCTGAAGGGTTCGTCTGATCGCCAAAATATGGATAGCAATCGATTCCTCGGGTCGATATCTAGCCGCAACCTCACGTTCCTGATGTGTGCAGCATATCCCTTATCCCTTAATCGTCCCTTAAAGGACGGGGCGCGTTAAAAGTGCTTCAAGGGTTCGTCTGATAGCCAAAATATGGATAGCAATCGATTCCTCAGGTCAATATCTAGCCGTGGCCTCACGTTCGAGATGTGTGCAGACTGCAGCGTATCCCTTATTCCTTAATCGTCCCTTGAAGGACGGGGCGCGTTAAAAGTGCCTCAAGGGTTCGTCTGATCGCCAAAATAAGGGTCGCAATCGATTCCTCAGGTCAACATCTAGCCGTGGCTTCGGCTTCCAGATGTGTGCAGACTGCAGCGTATTCCTTATTCCTTAATCGTCCCTTAATGGACGGGGCGCGTCAAAAGTGCCTCAAGGGCTCGTCTGATCGTCAAAATAAGGATCGCAATCGATTCCTCGGGTCGATATCTAGCCGCAGCCTCACGTTCCAGATGTGTGCTGCGTATCCCTATATCCCTTAATCGTCCCTTAACTCTTAAGGGATAAGGGATACGCTGCACACATCTGGAACGTGAGGCTGCGGCCACATGTTGACGCGAGGAATCGATTGCAACCCTTATTTTGGCGATCAGACGAATCCTTGAGGCACTTTTGACGCGCCCCGTCCTTTAAGGGAGGATTAAGGGATGAAGGAGGGGAGTTAGGCCAAAATAAGTGTCAAATTCGTGTTCCCCACCCCCTAATTGACCCCTGGGGTGATTTTCCTGCCCATTTAGAGACTTTTCAAAAAGTCTCTAGATTTTTCAACTGGCCATTAGATCTGGCAATTGGGGTGACGTCTGCCAAACGTCTGCTAAGAGAGTACCCATAGGCGGTCCCAGGGGGGGGGGCACGGGGGCCATGGCCCCCCCTTTGGTGCTGAAAGGTGGGGCCATACTATCTTTTGGCCCCACCTTTTAGATCGAACAAAAGTCCTAAAAAAAGCTTTTTGTATGTTTCATTTTCTTTCTTGTGCCATCAAAGGACGTAAATTTCACTCATGAGTGGGCTCAGTTTCGCGTTCTGTCAATTTGGCGGTCAGCGTCGCTGGCACCGGTTCACGAGTATGGCCGGATCTTATATGGAATATCAGCGTGGGTTTACTTGAGGCTCTCGTAGGCCCAGCAATGGCTGGCATGAGACCCTCTTCGACAGTGGCGGGTGGGCCCTGCTAAAGGAGCGTGGCTCTACGACACTAAAGTAAGACCTCATGGGTTGGTGCGGTGCACCTCAGAAGCCCGGTGGTGACGCCGTGTGCCGGCTTGGTTTCTTTAGTGGGACTTTATGATTAGTGTGGGACCTCCGGGGCCTGCATTGAGTTTGCATGAGCTAGTACGTAATCTCAGAGGCATGTGTGGTGTGTACACGGTGGCGGTTGCGGAAGGGGGCATCAGGGCCATGTCCCCCCCCCCCCCAGGCCAACAAAGGGGGCTATCATATCATTTGCCCCCCTTAAACAACCAATGGGTCCCCATAGGTGTATGGGGCCCTGGCCCTTATTCGATCGTCACGAGGCTCAAAAAACCCACGCCCAGCTATTAATATAGCTCCCACACCGGTCTTTGAGCGTCCTACACTGACCTCTGAGGGAACTTCAGTGGCGGTCAAGCGCTCACGTTGACCGCTAAAAGCCCAGATCAACCTCTGAGGCCCCACATCTAGCCTATGAGGGCCCCTAACCGGCCTCAGGGGCCCCAACCGGCGTCTGACGGTCTCACACCGGCCTCTGGTGACCTGACGGTCTCACACCGGTCTCTGGTGTCCCAAGACGACCCTTTAGATGCCAATGAGGGCCCGCACTGGCTGCTGAAGACCCGATGCCGGCCTCTAAGGGCCTGCATTGGCCTCTGAGGAGGACCCATCTTGGCCTTTGAGGGCCCTCTGCTGGCCTCTGGGGTCCAATGACGGCTCATGTCGGTCTTTTAGGGCCCCACGCTGACCTCTGAGGGACCCATGTTGGCCTGTAATGAGTAAGGACCCACATTAGCCTCTGAGAGCCCAACTCGGTCTCTGATGGTCTCAAGCTACTGGCCTTTGCAGTTTGCAGGCCGTGTACTGGTCTCTGAGGGTCCTAAACTGGCCTCTACGTGAAAACATACATGGGTGGGTTTCTGAAGATCAGAGGGCTCACGCAGACTCCGGCACAGCCTTACGTTGCTCCTGATCGAGATTACTTTACGTCCTGATGGTCCCGTGCAGATTCCCTCATATTTCTACGTCGGGACCCCATGAGCCGGTGTGGGTCCTGGGGCTGGCAGATACCTACTGATGAAGTCCTTAGGGCCCAGGGCCAGTCTTTTTAGCAGTAGGACTAGGCAGGTTGAGTGAGCCCCAATACGAGTAGAGCCGTTGCGAAGCCCCGCAGGAGTCGCGCGTGGCCCTCAGATGCCAATTTTGAAAGCTCGGAACCTGTGGGGGTCTCCAGGGGTCGGTGTACCTACTCTCTCCCGCCGCCACTCAACTATATGGGTAAATATCATAGTCTGAAAATGCTCCCTGGGTTTCACATGCTTGTTCAAAGCAAGAGGTATCTGTGCTTTTCCGAATTGTTTTATAGTGGTAAGGTCATGAATCCGCGTGCCCGACCTTCCAGTATATGCTACACCGATCCGTCGTCATGGTGCAGTGGCCTGACCGGTGGAAACACAGTTGGACGGGAAATGGAACTGGTGATTTTGCCTTAGATTGAGCTTAAAGATTTCACGCAAGAATGAGATGGATGAAGCGTAAGTAATGCCAACTGCGCGGCGCCTCGTGGACGTAAAAATCAGCCGATCACCCCCCCCCCCCCCTCTCCCCCTCCCGGTGACGGATAAATGTTATGTCCCGCGAGTGTGACTTTGGCCCCCCCTTTTGCCAGCGGCTGCGACCGCCAGTGAGAGTACCTGATATTTTAGGGTCATGCTATAGTCTGTTCCATATCAAGCTTGCAGTCGGAGTTTCTTCGGCTGATCCACTGAACTCTATAATGGGCTGATCGCTCCTCCGCTCAAGAATTTGCTTCTTAAAATGTAAGAGCTGTATTTACAGAAATCACGCACTGCTTTCAGCAGGGCACTTCGGCTGCAAACTTGAAACGGAACAGAGTATAGCAGCATAGGGTCTTTGAATAAACCCCGCCTGTATGAATTCACACGAGCTTTGAGACTGCATGATTGTGATAAATGCTCAATATCAATATTGTTATGGAATGACCTCGGGCTTGGTCCTATTTCATGGAGATTATGCAGCTCACTTTTTCATCGAAGTATTCCCGAATCTTACGAAATAATCCTAAAACAATATATTTATTAATGAGGTTTCTTCAGCACAGGTGCTTCATTCACATTATGACGTCACCAAAACCAAACATGTTACAGGTACTCTTACCTGGTACTCTTACCTGGTGGGGCTCCTTCTGCTTCGCAGCCGGTAGTAAGGACTGGAGCAGGAGGAACCCGGATAGGATCAGGACACGCCAGTCACAGTCTCCCCACGATGATGTCCTGTAGATATGGCCAGATGACTGGAAAGTGTGTGTCCTCGTGGCATATGCCATTGGAAAACAACACTTATCGGTATGTTTGCACAAATATCGCGAGTCAGATGTAGTCGTACAATGTGTTACCTAGTGCCTGTGCGAGAAGTCGTTTGAAAGACGACAGATCTGAAGCGGCCACCACGGCCTCTGGCAAACTATTCCAGATAGCCACCCGACGATGCGAAAACGAGCGCTGCCGCACGTTCGAAACAGCACGTGCTACATGCAGCTTGAAGCAGTGACCACGAGTTCCACCTCGGGGAGGCTGATGGAAAATGTCCTCAGGGGTTATTGTGCTCTTCCCATGGAAAATCTTCCAGTACTGTATCAGATCGGCGCGAATTAGTCGGCCTTGCACAGAGAAAAGGTCAAGTTCCTTCAGCCTCTCCGCATAAGTCATGTCATGCATCCCTTCAATGTGTTTTGTCCATCTGCGCTGTACCCTTTCTAGTTTACGCACATCCTCAGCATATTCGGTGTACCACAGACAAGACGCATACTCAAGCACAGGCCTTACATGCGTCCTGAGAAGGAACAACATGAATGCGGGTGATCGACAAACTGTAGCCTTTTTAAAATTGTGACACAGTCCACCGGCCTTATGCACTACAGTGGCTATATGTAGATGAAATTTTAACGAATCATCGACCAACACTCCTAGGTCACGCTGCGAGTGATGGATCGGAAGTGGTGTACCGTCTAACGTGTACAACGGCTGAGATTGGCTACAGAACTTCCGGGAAAATCTCAACACCGCACACTTAGCCTTGTTCATGCGCAAGCCCCAGGACAGAGAGGTCTTATACAGCACGTCAATATCTTGTTGCAGTGTCGGATCTGTCTGGGGATACAACGACACAGAGTTGCGCGCAACAG